CACATAGGTGGGTTCGCCCATTCAAAAAATCTGCAACCTTATGTCTGTATCAAAACAAGATGAAGCTTAACTTACTTTTCACTGCTTTGAACACAAAAATACATTATCAAATGCCCCCAACAACTAGAAGATGGTAATTTTATTAGAAGAACCTAGCTTAAAATTTAAATACTTTTTAATTTTCAAACAAATTTATTATTCAAATGCTATATATTCTTAAATTTCTAGTTTATTTAGTAAAAAAAGAAGCAAACAAAGTAAATTAAAAAGCTCAACTTCTTACTCTGCTTCTAGCGCACACATGAAACCTCCTTTCAGGATTGTTATCAGCCCAAGAAGTTAGAAGAGAAACCTTTTTACCACAATCACACTCCATAAACTCATGTCTGATCGAGAGTCGTTACTAGCAGATTTGAAAAATAACTCACTCTCTCGACTTAGTTCAGGAGAAATCTCCAGGTAGGGTTATGTGTTCTTTCCCCCTTTTGCAGATCCGATAATAGGCTTGGTATGGTTGTGCACGCACTCAGTGAAGAGCTTTCGTACTCTGGTTTTTTAACTCCAGCTAAGGGCCAATATTGAGTCAGCAAATGAGTTCCAAATAATATACCATGTGGCAGGTGATGTGTCTTTTTCCGGCAAAATTGGTAAGTTCCGGCAGAGAAGGACCAAAATTGCACCAACTTATTAGTTACGGGATGTAAATTGCAAGTTAATAAAGTTACAGAACCAATATCGGGTATAGCTATAAGTTACAGGACTGAATCAACCAATTTCCCGTTTTTGTTTGTCTAGAAGTTTGGTTTATTAAAATGCGTGTATTTTTTTACTTTCCGTAAATCTAAAGTTAAATTTTCCATGAAGATGCTCTAATAGTCTAATATCTTTTCGTTCATTAGACTTTTAAATCAACTTTATGTTTTGCAGATTATAAAAATAACACCAGGGGTCAAATGATATTATGGCAATACTTTTTACAAAGTGATGATATAATTATAACTTTAAATTCTTCCAAAAAAATTATAACTTTAATTTCCAAATACTCATACACTGAAAAACAACACGGGATTGGCAGGGATTTTGACAGGGACTTGAAAATTAATAAAGAAAAATTTGGCAGGGATATGCCAAATCCGTGCCAAAAACACTTTGGCACGAGCTATTTGGCACAAGAAATAGGTACTTCTGTACCACATTCCGTGCCAATCCCGTGTTTTTTGGTAGTGTCAATGCGATAAAAAATGACGTAAATGTTGTTTTAATGATGTACCTTCTCCTTTCGGCGACATATTCTAATTTCTAAAGACGACAATTACGGTGTTCCAAAAAAAAGACGACTATTACGGCCGGTCTTGAGGGCTCTAGGCCCGGAAATATAGAGAGAAAAGAATAGTTCAATCTTTTAGGTATATATGGAGTATATATTATATACTCCGTATATAGTGTGAGTAGACTTATTTTTCTATTTTTATGTTCATTTAATTATGCTTGATGTTTATTTTTTTGACAATTTGAAAAATAGAATATAAGTAAAATGTCTTAGACGAAGCCAAGTAAAAGAAAATACATTAATTTTAAGTAGGACAAATTGTAATTTTTAAAGCAATGCAATTGTTGCTGAATTAATAACAGACATGTCTAAATATGTAATTTAAATAGTAATAGTAATGTGATTTTTGCATTGATGATTTTACTTCACATTGTTCTGCGAAAAACGTTTTAAGTAATATTTTTTCTTTTGTTATAATGTTTGTGTTGTTACTTTTGTCCAAATATGTAATTTAAATAGTAATAGTAATGTGATTTTTGCATTTATTTTATGACCTTTATTAGATTTTTTTTTTGTTATATTCATATTCTATAGTTTACGATTTAATTATCTTGGGTATAAGCCAATAAAATATATCGCTCATAGACCAAAAAACGTAACGGGCATGACCGGCCCTGACGACTATGTCTTTGTTAGGGCGTAATGTTTATATATGTATTGCCATTTGCAAACTTTTTTTCTTCTGTTTATTGTTATTATTATTATTTTTTATTTTTTTTATTTTATTTCCATTTGCTAACTATTTAAGGGAAAGATAATTATACTATTCCGAACTTTCAAGGGGTGTGAGGTAATTGCAAATAATTTACCATTCATGAAGATACAATTAACAATCTAAACTTACTTTATGAAATAAATAGTTCTACCCTTCCACTCCATTCAAATATTTTACCATTCATGAAGATACAATTAACATTCTAAACTTACTTTATGAAATAAATAGTTCTACCCTTCCACTCCATATAATTGCAACATTTTCAATCTGCTATTTTAAATTATGCAATTAACACCATAAATTTACATTTTTGAAATAAATAATAAATGACCATGGTGTTAAAATAACTTTTTATAAAAACTTTGGGGTATTTAAATCACATATGAAAGTTTGAGGTGTTTATCTCACACCCCTTCAAAGTTTGGGGTTTTTTAATTATTTTTCTCACTATTATTTAAACAAAGTATTTGAGTAGTATCGAAATAATTTTACTCTAAAATAGTACTCCCTCCGTCCCAAAATAAAAGGCACATATTCCCTTTTAGGCTGTCCCAATATAAAAAGGCACATTTCCTTTTTTGACAAACAAAACAGTGCAAAACAGTACCAAACAGTGTCAAACAGTGTCAAAACAGTGCATAATAGTGTTTGTCCTAAAAATGTTTGAAAACGTAAATGTGCTCTTTATATTGGGACGGGAGGAGTATTATTTTGTATTAAATTTATATTTTTAAGTTGAGATGCACAAATTAGTTGCATTTTGCAACGCACGGATTAGTTGCTAGTTACCTAAATTACTATCACCTCCTCTCACTAACATTGAGACATGAGTATGTTGTACTATTATTAAGAAAAATGAGTATATGGCTGATATTGAAATGAGACAATCTTAAATCTTAATAAGACGGACATAATTGGACTAACTTCTTATCAACTTCCATTTTTACCCCTCAACTTTGTATCTGTTGTCTAAATAAATAGGCGTACACAAATGATTGAATTTCCCTTTATACGTATGGGTTTGCTAAACTTTGTTTTAATTTGTTTTGCGACTCAAACTAGTCCAAACTGCAAATATTCTATGTTTGTTCTAGTTTACTTAAGGAGTGTTTGGGGTTACTTAAAAAAAGCACTTTTCAACTTTTGGCTTAAAAAAAGTTGAAAAGAGTGTTTTCAAATGACAGCTTCTGCTTAAATTAATCACTTAAAAACTAAAAGTTGGAAGCAGGTAGAAGGGTGCTTTAAACTGCTTCTCAATTTTTCTATTACACAAAAAGTACTTATTTTACCAAACACTACCAACTTTTACTTTTTCAGAATCACTTTTTTCTCAAACACTACCAACTTTTACTATTAATCACTTTTCCCAAAATCACTTTAAAAAATCACTTTTTTAAAGTTGAAGCAATTGCAAACACTCCCTTAGTCCTATTTAGGATTGGTTTGCAACTGTTTTTAAAAAAAACACTTCTCAGTTATTGGCTTTAAAAAACACTTATTTTACCAAACACTACAACTTTTATTTTTCTCGGCTTCCGCGTCAAAAGTGCTTTTACTTTTTCTATTACACAAAAAGCACTTATTTTAACAAACACTACCCACTTTTACATTTCAAAATCATTTTTTTCTCAAACACTATCAACTTTTATTTAGGGTCTGTTTGCAACAGCTTCTGCTTTTAAAAAAGTGTTTTTTTTAATGAAATGGGAAGAAGTGATTAAATAAAAGTTGAAATTGATAGTAATAATCCCAACTATTGGCGGTCCGCTCATAATAATCCCAACTATTGATTATTACAGAATAATCCCAACTTTAGGGACCTTCCGCCAATAATGGTCCCTATGAATAAATTCTTGTAGTTTCTAAAGTGGATGAGATGAGATATAACAAGTAATCCCTATAAATAATCTCAACTTTTAATTTTTACTCTTAATTTCTATTTAAAATTCACTTTTTATAGAGGTAATATATGGTCATGGACCATTATTGGCGGATAGTCTATATAGTTGGGATTATACAAAAATAATCAATAGTTGGGATTATTTTCAGCAGACCAGCAATAGTTGGGATTATTGTTTTCAATTTTTCCTTAAATAAAAGTTGATAGTGTTTGAAAAGTAAAAGTGGGTAGTGTTTGGTAAAATAAGTGCTTTTTGTGTATTAGAAAAAGTAAAAGCATTTTTGACACGTAAGCCGAGAAAAATAAAAGTTGTAATGTTTGGGAAAATAAGTTCTTTTTTAAAGCCAAAAGCTGAGAATTGCTTTTTTAAAAGCAGTTGCAAACCAACCCTTAATCACTTCTCCCCATTTCATTAAAAAAAGGACTTTTTTAAAAGCAGAAGCTGTTGCAAGCAGACCCTTATTTAAATACATTCAATTTTTTGAGTGAAATTTGAGAGATTACTATACATGAATTGAAGTTGTTTCGTCAACCTTTATTAGACAATATACTCCGTAGTTGATAGCCTTCAATTCGGTCAATACACGTATTGTGATGCTTTCCGATGTCCCCGGGATTAGTGTCATACGTGACCTAATCACCTAATGAACACGTATATTATGGCTCCATATTTTTTAGGTGACAACTCTGGTACTTTTCTAAAAATATGAGGTATCGTACGTATCATTTATTTGATTGAACCACATCACTTTATCATTTTTAATTTAAATTTAAATAATTCAACTACTACATTTTCATTAGTCCACGTGAAATCTACCATTATTTTATGTCATGCACCGCAAATTCTTTTAAGAAATTTCCACTCACCTTCTTCTTCCTCTCTTCATTCTATAACATAAAGCAACCTGAGATTCATTTTCCCTTGCATGCATTATGCATATAATCATTTCCACTACCCATTTTACAAACTCCCACAAAAAATCCAAAAATCCTTGTGATAATGGCTTCACGCTTTGACATTGAAGGTGGAAAAACACCTGTGAGTGATGTGAGTCGAGAGATGCGTTGGGCATTCATTCGCAAGGTTTATGCCCTTGTTTCACTTCAACTGTTTCTCTGTACGGCCGTTGGCGTCGCAATGTATCTAATCCCCGCCGTCAAGACTTTCCTCAACACCACCGGCGGTCTGATCGCCTTCATAGCCATAGTCGTTCTCGTCTTTGTATGTGAGTAATCCTTACCAAATAGAGAATACATTGTACCTTCACAATATGATTTTCTGTTGTTCAATTCATTCATGTTCTTATACTATGTATATTGTACTAGTGGAGAGGGGGAGGTCCAAGAAAAAATTTGTAGTGTATACACATGTATAAGTGTTAAGGTTTATAAAATATTAATAATATGTTCAAATAATAGTCTCGAGTCTCGACGTACCTGTTATGGTGTTGTACGATTGAGAGGCCACAAGTTCAAATATTGAGAGCAACCTCTTGTCGAAATAACAAGGGTAGTCGATCTTCTCCTTCTACACTTTTGCATGTGGTGGGACCCTTCTCCGAACCCTTGCATTGGCCGGCCCTTTCATGTTTCAACCTCCTACATACGTAGTCCTACCTATGATATTTCTGGCTTCGCCCCTATTCTTACTTTTTGAAACAGTTCGTGTACACATTTTCATGATTTAAATGTTTTTCAAGCATTTTTTGGGGGGTTTTAGTTTTAATGATTCATAACATTTTTGGTTTCTCATATATGGCGTGAAATTTAGCCTGGGTCTCTTTTATAATTTTATTATAATATTCCAAATTTAGTGCGCGGATTCTACTAATTGGGATTCTGTGTCTCAATTGACAATATTTTTAATTATTTGATGATATAAATAACAGTTCTCATAGCAATGTATTGCTACAGCAAGATTCATCCTTGGAACTATGTTCTCTTTTTTCTCTTTACACTCGCCATGGCTCTCATGATTGGAGCGACTTGCACATATAAAAAAGGTACTAAGTAATACATAGTACAATACTGATATTCCTTTACATAATGTAGTAACTTAATGAGTATTGAAGGATCTTAGTTGTACTTGAATTGCCGTTAATTACTTAAAGATTTGATGCTATTATTTAAGAAAATTTTATTTATAATTTCAGATGTTTTTACTTGGAGTGTAATTTGCTGGTCTGGTCTGGTCTGGTTTCTTTGTATTTTTATAACTATCCAAGTCTGGCCTGGTTTAGTCTGAGACAAATTACAGTCCAAGTAAAAACATCTTAAGTCAACCATGAATATAATATGGAGTATATATATATAGGAATATATGTCTTGATGGCTGCTGGCTTGACGGTTCTTATATTTGTCCTGCTTACGCTGTTCACATTCTGGGCTGCAAAGAGAGGATGGGATTTCGATTTTCTTTATCCCTTGTTGATCTCTGGTCTCATGGTGCTCATCGTCTTTGGTATTGTGAAGGTAAACTTGAATTATGATCTGTTCACTTTTTTTTTTTTAACAAAAAGGAGTATTATTTGTGTTCTTTTTTTTGTCAACTTTGGATTTGGGAACACCTCATATTTTGAGAAACCCGCACGACTAGCTCAGTTGATTGAGTGGGGGAAAGTTGGAATTAATTAACCAAAGAACGAAACTTGCAACTCATGTGTGCTGGGCTGGACATGTGTTGTGCATGAGTACACGGTCTATCATCATTAGACTGACTGAGTCACCGTGACTTATAACCTCTAAAATGTCTTGTTGAGTCGGTCGTGAAGGCTCCATTGAGGTGGGAATTCAACCTTTTGGAACATTTTACACTGGAGGTCACCTCCTTAAAAGACGTACGCTCCGTATATTTAGTGCCATAATTGTAGGGGTGACAAAAGTGCAAAACTGCTGGAAGGTGACAATTCTGGTACCTTTCTAAAATATGGGGTACCGTATCTATCATTCATTTGATTGGACCACATCACTTGATCATTTTTAATTTAGATTTAAATAATTCAACTGCTACGTACATTCTCATTGATTCATGTGAACAAAGGTATGATACTTTTGGGTACCATAGAATCTACACTGCTGGAATTGGTTTGAGCCATTTTTACCGGGGTGACAAAAGTGAAAAACTGATGGAATTGGTTTTAGCGGTTTTAGGCCTATCTCTTTGCAAGTGAGAACACGTTAGACGTAAAGCAATTAATTAGCTAGCTATTCAGATTAGGCATCCAATGAATCAAATGATTAATTCTCAAAAGTGCATTTTTGCATTTTCTAATTTTGATAAAACTATCCATGTCAACTTCGATTCACAAGTTTTTGACATTATCACAAATTTCGCTACTTTTTGGGAGCTTTATGTCACATTATATTTCAATTCTTTTCCTTGATTGGAATTATTTGGATCTTAGACCAACCTATTCTAATCAATACAGTATAATTCTTATTTAAATAGGCCAAACCGGATTAAATGGAAGCATAATATATTTATAGAGGAAATGGTCTATAAATGGTCTTTAATGCCAATTAGGTCTTAAAATTTATAAATGGTACCTTAAATTATCAACATTTTGAAGAAATTGTCTTAAATGCCAATTAGGTATATAGTTGGGGTTCTGAAAAACACTCCGCATATCTTTTCCCTTGAGATTGGTTGGGACAAGAATTGAAGCCAGGAGTACTGCACTTTTTAATAAAAGTAAAGTTGTGTGATTGATATTAATTTGGTAAAGTGTATATAAGGTAAAAAGGGGAAAATTGCCTAATTAAATAGGCCATGGACTTAAAACATTTGTGTATTTCAAAATAAGACGTTGATATTTTTATTCTCGAAATATGAATAATTACTATTATATTTTGGCAGTGCCAGATAGGGTTGTATACGAACCGAATTGAGTCGAATAATGAGATTTTGTATTTGTATTTGTTTAATTTTTTCGAATACGAATTCGAATTCAAATATAAAACGAATATTAATTTCGATTTGTATTTGTATTTGTTTAACCATGCGAATAGTTAACGAATCATATACAAATATCGAATCGATTTGAACATAGAATAAAAATTAGTCAAATAACACTTTAAAATAACTTTTCTTATATTCCGTATTTTTTATTTTGTAAATGCATGTTATGACTTAATGGAGTATGTGTTTTTAGAATTTAAATTGTATGGATCAATACATTTTTAGATGATGCACAATAAAGTGAATTAATTTTATGATTAATAAATATAAATTTATTTCAAACTTTTTGAAATAAACACTAACACACATGCATTAGAAATTATACTTATAATGTGTGAAATAAGTTGATAATTGTATATATCAAAGTCACAAACAACCCCGATTTTATTCTTTAAATCGAATACATAATTATTTGTATTGTATTCGAAAGACATTTGAACCAAAAAAATGATTTGTATTCGTATTTATATTCTAGTTTATTACAAATGGGCTTGGAATCTGTATGCAAAAATGTATATATGGGCTACACTCTGAGGATATTTCTATCTTTTAAAAGTTGTTATAGTGTTATTACTATTATTATTAATATTGATATTAATATTACCATTGTTATTAATCGAATATATTTGATTAATATTCGAATTTAATACACTGATATTCTTATTTTTATTTGATAAAAACTCGAATCAAATTTAATATTCTTATTTGTATTTGTATTTGAATTTTCCGAATTCGAATCGTCTTATACGAATTCGAATCGCGAATCGAGTACAAATTATTTGATTCGTTTACAACCCTAGTGCCAGACACTTAACCTGACAATACTTTCCAAGCTTGACCGTAATTACTTCTATTTAGGGAATAAAAACATGAAAATCATATTTTGAAATTCTCAAACGCTTTTACTCCTATTATTATCAGAATTTCCCCTGAGTCAAAATGAATTGGAATAAAAAGAAATTATTTCGATGTACGAGACAAACTTAGTCCACAAATGAAAAAAGGAAAAATGAGATAATCACTACAATAACACCGTTTTCTCCCATTCCACTCTTAACTCTTAAGTTGTACAATGTTTTATTATGATGGGCAGGCGGTTTTTCATATGGGCAGAGTTGTCCAGTTGTTATACGCGGGCGGGGGAGTGCTTGTCTTTTCGGGTTTCATCATATTCGATACATACAACTTGATCAAGCGGTTCAGCTACGATGAATACATTGAAGCGGCGTGCGCTCTTTTTTTGGATATCATCAACCTCTTTTTGCTCATTCTTGACTTCATTTCGACCATGGATTGCTGATCATTATTTGTCTCTCAGAGTATGTAACTTCTTGTTGTTTCTATTGATCTTCATTGGTGCCCACAAGTATTTGTGTTTTGTGTATACTTAAAATTTACTAATGATGATACCAATTGTTCGATCTTTATTAAAACAATTTTGCTAAGCGATCGATATGAACGTTCACAAGAAAATCATTTCAATTTGAAAATAGAACGACGAGAAACATTGAGTTGACCTTGTTGGAATAAAGGAGTTTATGAGTATTGTATTTAGGTGATTGTGTGTGGAAGAGAGAATTTTAGGGATAGATGATTTTGAAAGAACTTGGAACTTTTATTGATTTGGAGCTTTTGGCTTGTATTACAAATGAGTGAGGAGTGCTCTATTTATAGGTCTCATAGGATCCTTCTAGGCACTCCTATTTCCTTAAGATTCTACAATATTCCATAGAATTCTAGCTTAGGAACATTCTAGAATTATTTAATAAGTACATTAACTAAAGACTTCTCTAGATCTTTCTTTACTAACTCTAACTTATGGGCTAACTAATTTATTATTTCTCATACAACTATTAGCCCAATAAGTGAACTTCTAATGGACCCAATTATTGGGCTAAGCCAAGTTTAATTTCTAACAGACCTAGGGGCGGCCTTATAGGTTTGAAGGCCTAAGGGCATCTCCAACAAGCACCAACTTCTACACCAAAATGGTGCATTTGCCAAAAAAAAATGCTCCAATAGCCACACCATCTTCAACACCATTTCACCATTTTGGTGGAGTGCCTTTGGCTTTACGCCATATATGGCGTACACCAAATCCAACATCATTTGATAGAAAATAACAAAAATATAATAAAATTTAAATTACACAATATAATAAATAAAGTTTCAAATCGAAACAACATAATAACAGAATACAAATGATACTTAAGAAAATAACATAATTAAAATTACAATTAATAACACCATTATAATTAGTGAAATATTGATTATTGTATTTTAATTAGTGAAATGCGTGAAAATACATATTAAAAAGGTGTATTTTAGTTTGTATGTGTGAAATAATGTGTGAAATGTCAAAATATTAAATGAGGGGCTAATGTATAAATATATGATAATTAGATACTTAAATAGAAGAATGGTAAAAAGTTAGTAAAAAGAATAAAAAGAGAATATTCCTTTTTGGTGATGAAAATGATGTAAACTATTGGAGATAAAATACTGTTTGATGTGATGTTTACACCATTTTATTGTAAAAAATGGTGTAAACTGTTGGAGATGGCCTAAGGGCGGCTAATTTAAAATAGGCCAATTTTAAGAAAATTGTAGAACTCTTTTCTGTCTAAAGCAACATGTACGATGATGACGATGATTCACCGCATTTATAATAAAGGCAACAACAACATTGTCAAAAGAAAAGACATAAATTCGTTAAATTAAACAAAGTAGAATGACATGATTATCATCTCTTAATTTTTCCCCTCCCCTCCTTTGACATGTTCACTTTGAACTATTTCATTTTCGGTAGTTAAATCATTCTTCTTCTCTGAGTTCGCATCTTGAGAAGGACATTCCGGATTGACTTCTTCACACAAACAAACTTTTTTCATTGAACTTTTTGACTTAGACTTTCTCTAACCTTTTTTTTTTGTTTCTTCCGTTCGAATTCAATTATTTTTATTTCACCTTCAAATTAATTAAGTTTATAAGTTCATGAGATATATATATGAATTTCTTTACCTAAAAAACCAATAGATTATAGCACCTCGCTAACAATTAAGAATATGAACTAAACATTTGATTTTAGCACTCAAAAGCCTACACTACATTAATCAACTAATTATTTATCATTTATCAACAAATTAATCAGCAACTAATCATTTAACAGGTTTGAAACTCAAAACCCACCACACTCGATGACTCAATAACATTGGCATTTAACCTTAACCGAATAGATACAATTCAATAATATATAGATCAAAAGGTATAGCAAAAAAATCTATATTGCTCTTTAACCATAATAAAAATCTACGTAGTATTTTCCTGTTCATAATCATTTACAAACATTAAACAACTGAGATTCTGAGAAGGGCCGGGGCAGGACGGCAGGCGGCCAAGCGTCGATGACTCGGTGGTAGGCAGTCTGCGGTCACCGAGTCGGGCTAGTCAGCTCTCCAAGGTTCCTTCTTCCTTGGTGAGATGGTGTTCGTACCAATCGTACGTGGTTCGTGAGTTTAGTCAAAGGCTGCATTTTCGTTTTCGGCGAGATCAAACTGAAGTCCCGAGAGAAGTATATGTATTTACTCCTACTTCTTTGGGCAATTTTATTTGCATCC